AGTGAATGCTTGTTGCTTTACAACCCAAAGTTAATTTGTACTTTCATAAACTTGTTAGAAACTCAGAACCGAGAATGCATTAGCAAACTGTAGTTACAGCCATTGCTCCCCATCCAGAAGTTGTCATTTCACAGAAACAACTAAAAATGTAAAAGTCTGAACACAGATAACAAAAATTGTCAAGTCGTTCTAAATGATTTGACTACGAAATTTGGAAACTGAAATAATAGTTCGGCATTCTAAACTATGCTTACTGCAAACAATGATTTAAAGTTTAATGTTTGAATTGTCCAGATCTATTTAGTTGATCAGTCTGAGTGTATATACAAAAATGCTATGATTTGAAAGCTTTATTAATTTGTAATCTGATATTAGAGTTCCCACTGAAGACTGTTACCTTGTATCATGAATTTGTGCATCTCTTGCCTCTTTTGGAGAACTATGATTTGTTAATTTCTATTAAATAATAGTTTGATCTTGTTAAGATAATCTAGTTACCTAAGCAATGTGTTACCTCGCTTCAGACATAATCAAATATAAATATGTTTCTCTGTAGACTTATCAGGATGAATACTCAATCTTTAAAAAATGAACTTACATTATCAGTGTCAATAATATAAACAGATGGCTACATAGGATAAGAGGGTTAGGGTTGCTTGCCTTTTCAGAATATCATGAACTTAGAACTGTTTTGAAATATTTTGAAGTCTTATTTCGATTATAAAATATAAAGCAGTGACATACTTTATATTTTACATGTTAACGTTTGAAATGCATATGTGTAGTTAACATATGTATAGAAATTGTTCCTTCATTCAGTAGATTCTTGAACTATATACATATATGTAAGTTAAACATAACAACAGAGTCCTTGAGTTATGGACTTAACTAAGCCAAAATTTGGTCAGTTTCTGAATAGTCAATAAGCTTGTTAAGAAAGTCTTTTTGTTTAAATATAACAGTTTACTCTGTGTATCATACTAAAAAATAATTGCTGATGGCTAAAGAACCAAACTTTAAAAAATGCCCTTTATTATATGTTTTGATGCATATTTCCATAAAGTACTAGAACTGTGATTTCATTTTTTAAAATGATAATGTCCATTAGATTGTTTCAGCATTATCATGAGAAGCTACAAAGAACTATGAATTATTTATTTGTTTATCTCACAGTAATTATTATCTGCCTGAATCCCAAAAGAGATATAATATCAAACCATTATCCTAGCCTGATTTCACCAATATAAGGAAAAACGGCTAAATGGATGATGACTCTACTAATTTAATTTATAATTGTAATTCACTAGCCCACAGCTCAATGCTTAGAAGGAGATATTTAAAGTATCTTAAATGAATTTTTTTATGATGCTAACTTTTTTTCTTTTTCTTTTTCTAAAAGGACTATCGGACAAAACCATTTTGCTGCAGTGCATGTCCATTTTCCTCAAAGTTCTTTTCTGCTTACAAAAGTCATTTCCGGAATGTTCATAGTGAAGACTTCGAAAACAGGATTCTTCTTAATTGCCCCTACTGTACTTTCAATGCAGACAAAAAGACTTTGGAAACGCACATTAAAATATTTCATGCTCCCAATGCCAACACACCAAGTGGAGGCATCAGCACTTTTAAAGATAAAAACAAGCATGATAGCCTTAAACCTAAACAGGCTGACAGTATAGAACAAGCTGTTTATTATTGTAAGAAGTGCACTTACCGAGATCCTCTCTACGAAATAGTTAGAAAGCACATTTACAGGGAACATTTTCAGCATGTTGCTGCACCTTATATAGCAAAAGCAAGTGAAAAATCACTTAATGGAGCTGTATCCTTGAGTTCTGGTTCCCGAGAAGAGAGTATGATTCACTGCAAACGATGCCTTTTTATGCCGAAATCATATGAAGCTTTAGTACAGCATGTTATTGAAGACCATGAGCGTATAGGATATCAGGTGACAGCAATGATAGGCCACACTAATGTGGTAGTCCCAAGATCCAAACCTTTGATGTTGATTGCTCCAAAACCCCAGGATAAAAAGCCTATGGGACTTCCTCAGAGATTGGGACCCCTATCTCCTGGAAATATTCGTTCTCTTCCATCACAGCAAATGATAAATCGACTAAATATACCAAAGCCTACACTGAATTCAGGAGTTAATATGATGTCCAGTGTTCACTTACAGCAGAATAACTATGGAGTGAAATCTGTACCACCAAGTTACGTTAGTCATACAGGACGGCTAAGTTTAACTGGTAGTTCCCCAGTTTCTCTATCCCAGCAGTCTCAATCCATGAAACAGTATCCTCCCAGTGGAAATGGGAGGCCGTACCCTCTTGGAGGAGAACCAAGACCACAGACCTCTGCAAGGTACTCTCTTCAATCTGCCAACTCTTCTGCACTTTCATCAGGTGCATTGAAATCACCATTAGCTCAGTCTCAGGCAGCATCCAGAGGCTTAGCCCAGTCCACGCCCAAACCTCTTGGAGCAAATGCTACAGCTGCCGCCGCCGCCGTTGTTAATACTTCATCAACACAGAAATGGAAAATTTGTACGATCTGCAATGAGCTGTTTCCAGAAAATGTGTATAGTATTCATTTTGAGAAAGAACACAAAGCTGAAAAGGTGCCTGCGGTTGCTAACTACATAATGAAAATACACAATTTTACTAGCAAATGTTTATACTGTAATCGCTACTTGCCAACTGATACATTGCTTAATCATATGTTAATTCATGGCCTGTCCTGTCCCTACTGTCGCTCAACTTTTAACGATGTTGAAAAGATGGCTGCTCATATGCGAATGGTTCATATTGATGAAGAAATGGGACCTAAAACAGATTCCACTTTAACCTTCGATTTGACATTACAGCAGGGTAGTCACACCAATATACACTTACTTGTAACTACCTACAATTTGAGAGATGCACCTGCTGAATCTGTTGCTTATCACGCTCAAAATACTCCTCCAGCTCCTCCAAAACCACAGCCAAAAATTCAAGAGAAGGCAGATCTCCCTGTCAAAAGTTCACCTCAAGCAGCAGTTCCGTATAAGAAAGATGTGGGAAAAACTCTTTGCCCTTTGTGTTTTTCCATCCTTAAAGGACCCATTTCTGATGCACTGGCGCATCACTTAAGGGAGAGACACCAAGTTATTCAAACAGTTCATCCAGTAGAGAAAAAGCTCACATATAAATGTATTCATTGCCTTGGAGTGTATACTAGTAACATGACTGCCTCGACTATAACTCTGCACCTTGTCCATTGTAGGGGTGTGGGGAAGACACAAAATGGTCAAGATAAATCTAATGTTCCCTCTCGGCTAAATCAGTCTCCAGGTACAGGACCTGTGAAACGTACTTATGAACACATGGAATTTTCTCTTTTGAAGAAAAGAAAAATGGATGATGACGATTCGCCCTCAGTTTTCGAGGAAAAGCCTGAAGAACCTGTAGTACTTGCTTTGGATCCCAAAGGTCATGAAGATGATTCGTATGAAGCCCGAAAAACATTTCTCACCAAGTATTTCAATAAACAACCATATCCCGCTCGAAGAGAAATTGAAAAGTTAGCAGCCAGTCTTTGGCTATGGAAATCTGATATTGCTTCACACTTTAGTAACAAAAGGAAGAAATGTGTTAAAGATTGTGAAAAGTTTAAAATTGGTGTTTTGCTAGGATTCAACATGAAAGAATTAAATAAAGTGAAACATGAAATGGATTTTGATGATGAATGGCTGTTTGAAAACCACGATGAAGAGAATTCTAGAGTCAATATTAGTAAAACAGTTGATAAAAAAATACTCTTAGGTAAAGATATTGAAAGTTCTTCAGACAGTTATGAAAATATAGAAGATGAATTCAATGAAAGCAATAGTCCTTTTGTAGAAGTTATTTCTGATCACAAACCATCTATAATTAGTATAAATGAAAACAGAGATGACAGCGTATCTAAGGAGGCACCTTTGGAAGCCACGTTGGAGCCTCCAGAAAAAACAGACCAAAAAGAGAATGGAGGAGATTTGAAAATCCAGGAAAGTTGCTCTGCAGCAGAACCAAGAAAGCAGGTGGCTAATGGCTCAGACAGTGAAGGTGACCAAGAAGATCAGGATGATGTTATTGAATGGAAAGATGCAGCATCGGCCTCTGAAAGTGGACCTGGTTCTCAACAGGCATCTGACTTTGAAGATAATACATCTGAAGTGAAGCCAGAAACTTGGACTGATGAATCATCCCAAAGTGAAGATGCTAATAGTAAACCAGGTGCAGAAACTAAATGTGTTGTCTCTGAGAGTGATGGAGACCATTCAAAATGGAAGAATAGTTCCTATGGAAAAGTAGGTGAGTTTTGGTCCAAGGACCAGTCACAATGGAAAAATGCAACAGAAATTAAAGAGAAGTTGTCAAATCAACAGATGGAGTGGCAAAATAGCACAATTGACAGTGAGGATGGAGACCAGTTTGACAATGTGACTGATGGGGTTACAGAATCAATGCATAGCAGCCTAACGGGAGTAGAGCTGAGTAGCCAGCAAGCATAAAAGTCAGTCAACTCCATGGCCTCAATATCTCCCATTTGACAATACTTTCATTTAGCACGAATGCTAAAGTTCATTATAACTGGTACTGCCTTTTGAGTGCAAGGTCATCTGGCCAGTGGCTACAAAGCCACTATTTCTAGTACTTATTTCAAAGTATGCTGTTGGCAAATCTCACTTGAGAGTATGTGCTGTGATGAGCACAGTAACTTAATGTGAAAACTGATATGCTGGTGGCTCCCAGTTCACTGAAGAAAAGGTTTATTTTATCGGCATTTTCAACATTTTATTTCACTGTATATGTTCAGCTGTATGTCTTTTTAAACATTACCTTTTCCACATGGTAGTTATAGGGCCAACATAAGAGCTACCAGTTCAATGTGTATAGTAGACTCTGGGAAAATTGTTTTTTCATGTATCATTCTGAATAGTTGAAATGTATATTTGTACAGTCTTTTAGACCTACTCAAGTGATGCTTATGCTATTGTTCTTGTGTATCCATCATAGATTTGGTTCTTTCCCTTTCTTTTAGTGTTGCCCTGCTGTGTAATAAATGCTGTATCTAGTTTACCTAGCAAAAAGCTTGAAACTGCTATAGTATGACTTTTGACAGACTTAGTTTTTGCACATAACCTTGTACAATCTCAAAGAGGCCAGCAACATAAAATATATCTGGACTCTTAATGTATTATAGAATTTTCTTGTTCTTGAATATCCTTGACATTACAACTGATGACTATGAATTTCAGAGACATTTTCTGAAATCTTTTAAGCTAAAATCACATGCAAGAAACAAGTTTGCAGCTACTAATTTTGACACCTTTTAGATCTGTATAAAACTGTACTGTGTTAAAAGCAGCATACGGAAATGAGTGCTGCATTTTTTTGGATATTTAGTTTTATCTTTAGTTAACACCTCATGGTGTTATTCATTTATACCATCTAATATATGACACATTGTTGTAGTATGGATAATTTTGTGATCTTTATTTCCCCTTTGTATTCATTTAAACATCTAAATAAATTGCTGTATTGTGCTTAATGTAAATATTTGCTTTATTACAAATTCTGAATTATCTGTTTCTCAAGTCATTGTGATGGCTCTTGTTGAAAGAAAAACAAAATTCAAATGCTAGAGTTTATGCCTTGAGAAAATGAAGTTATCTATAGAAGTTTTGTATTAACAAACATAAGCTATCTATGTGCAAGCTAGTTATATATAATTTACTGAACCAAACAGATAGAAATGTATTAAAACTACAGTACTGTATATGGATTAACAGATCTACAAATATGCAGCATAATACATCCAAACATTTTAAAATTCTGTTGTTTTCAATGGCAGTTTAAAGATGTGCTTAATACTCCTATTGAAATCATATTTAAAAGTACTGTCATTTTTTTGTAAGTTGACAATCTTTAAGATTTGCTCCTTGTAGTAAATCAGTGAATGGATTTAAATGTGTCTCATACCCATTGTTTGCAGATATGCTATTTGAGTTTTCACAATCAGTGTATAGGATTGAGGGGTGATGAGTTGGGGCAAGTTAAATCAACACGTTTTTAACAGTATTGTCAATGTGTATTTTTGCCGTAATGAGGTTTCTACTGTAGCAGAATTAATTGTAGAGCATTTTTATAAGATCATCTTTTTTATTAATTTGTCTAGTTCTTGAAACATGTAGACTGTTTTCCCTTTTTCATAAGATTTTGCTTATATTTAAATGCCTAGTTTTATTGCATCGTGATGCAGTCTGCTGGAGTCAAGGATGTATTTATTGTATGTTCTAGCAGAGGAAAAAAATGGCTAAATCTGTACTGGGATAAACTTGAAAATATTTACATTAATTTCCAGTAAAAAAATATTTAAGAAAGATTTGTTACAACTTAAAATTTTCACTAATGCTGTAACTTTACATTTGAATTATTGTAGAAAACAAATTTATACACCAAGGGTAAAGTAGCAACCTGCACCATACAGTTTCTGGGAGATTATAAATTGGATACCAAATGATCACAAAATCCAATTCACCAGAAGTTGGCAATCTGCCATTTATATTTGGCATGTTGAAAGTATGTTATGGATAGTCTACCCAAATATCTGTCATGATGGTTCTGGCCCATTACAAAACACCTTAAGCTGCACCTATTCACCCCGGGTTATAAAGCAGCACTTAGCCAAATTTGCCCCCCCCCCAAAAAAAAAGGCTGAGTAAGCCAAATTTCAGAGTTGCAGAAGTTTTCTAACGCAGATTAGAAAATTGAAAGAAAGCACTGGCAGAAAATAATGGCAAATCATGTGTGTATAGTTGCTTAGAAAACAACATAGCTTGTCCATGAAATTCAAGATATATTAAAGATTGGCTTGAAGGAGACTTTTACAGCCTCCCATATTTTTCTTTCCAAGAATACATGGGGAAGTGAGGTCACCTTATAGTCACCAGAAGTTGAACTCAGTTCTAGGTAGTCTTTAAGATGCGTTAGTTTTCTATCGGCTCTGTTCTGATTTGAACAAGGATTTCCTCCTCCTAAATAGTTGCTATTTTAATTCGACTGTTTGCCTACATTAGCTTTAGCAGGCCCTGCTGCCTTTCATTTTTGGTTTCTCTCTTTATGCACAAATATTCCCAAGTCATTTTGTTTCCAGCAGATATATTCATTGATATGCTTGAGCACCAGATTGCTGATAATTCTTGTGGATTTAAATGCAATGACTGCAATGGCCTTAGAATTCCTGTTTGTCCAGCTTCAAATAGTGAAATATTAATTTTTTAAACACAACAGTTGTGTTCTTAGGGCTACGGCCAAAAATCAAGCCATTTTGGAATTAATAGTTCATAACAATCACATTTATTCTAGTTGTAGACATCGTAAGGAGCGGTGTAAATAGAACTGACATTTTTATTTTGTTTTGTCTTCAAGTCAGTGTTGATTCCTGGTGACTGCCTGGACAAGTCCCTGTAAGTGTTCTGGACAACATTTTTCAGAAATAGCTTCTTCCTAGATCTGAGAGAGACCAAATTTACCTATCTGATTTTGTGCCTAAGGCATCATGACTAGACCTCATGGTTTCTAGACTGTTGCCCTTTACTAATACATCAAACTGATTTTGATACTGTACATTATATTAATAGTGCAGAATCCCATGCTTGCACCAAATGCACTCATAACTTTTTTTGTACCATTAAATAATACACTGTACAACAATTTGAGTATTTGCCACTTCGATGGGATTTGCTTTTTTCTTTTGAATACAAATACTAGATAACTAGGTAGGTTACTTTTGAAATGGGATTTTTGTTCTGAAGTGGCTGAGACAGAACAGATTTTAACAATTACAAAGTGATAAAGCAGTTTCTTTCTAGTATGTCTTCACAAAGATTTTTCTTTCCATTCCTGATTTTTTATTTATATAAACATACCTCAAGTATCAAACACACAAGAAATAAACTCCATTGCTCATAGTCAGAATAGAACACAATACATTTGGAAATAACGTTTTCTTTCCCATGATGAATTTTGCCCTAGTACAAATGTAAAATACAAAGGTGAGAAGGAAGAATACCCAGATACTTTATTTGGCTATAAGGCAGTAAGCATAAATACAGAACTAATGGCTCTGATATTTGCTACCAATATATTTGATAGGAAAATAATCTTCTGTTCTATAAAGTTCAGGCAGATTATAACTCTGCTGTGCATCTGGAGTGTATGTCTGAAACAACAAGAAAGTTGGACACCACAGAATTAAAATAATTAAATTGCTTTTAAGAACTTATATCTATCGGTATACAAACATACATATATATATGAAATTGGTTTTTGAACACAAATGGAAGTAAGGACATAAGTAAAGATAAAATTATATTCAAAAGTTACACATTCATTTGTATTAGGACATTTAAATGAAACTACTTTGTTTTTGACTTCCACTGAGCTTTTCCTGAATGAAGGTTGTAAATTCAGGATTAAGGCTGTATTTACAACAAACTTAAATTTGAACCAATCCCCTCCCCCCCAAAAAATACAAGGGGAGAAAACCGCTCATTACTACTATAGTTTGGGGCAAAGATAATGCTGACCCTTTCATTTTAAGTGTAAGTTTTGCCTGTATGTTTGTATATGTAGCAAAGATTTTTTCATTATTTCCAATACATTTTAAGTTGAAAATTGCTTTTCTCCACTGGGGATTGCACTTCAGAGATTCTGAATGCCAAAAAAGGAGCGTTAGCTTTCGAGAATTGTATAAGACAAAGCTTTGGAGGCACAGTAGAGAAGTAAATGGGGCTCCTTAATCAATAGAGAAATGATGTGCCAGATTCCTGTGTGAAAAGTTCATCCCTTCATGTTTTTTCCCCATCCATCTTAGACCCCAGAAATTTAATTTTGTTGTAAAGTTGCTTTGTGTCTGCTCATTTGTGACTTGTGTGACCGATTTCCAGATATCTTGAGCCACATTTACCCAAGTAAATTCATTGCAGAATGGAATGGTTATACACAGGTGTAGTGTTAAAAGCAGTACTTTATGCAGTAAATTTTTAATCTCTGTTATGTAAGTAAATGAGACCTAGAGGGATTATACAAATTCTATAATTAAAAATATCTTCCTAAAGCATAATGGCTGCCATCCATTTCAAAGCTCTCCAAATGTAAATCTTTTGAGAGACATAACTGCCAGGATAAATCTTTTTCTTGACTGTACAGGTAGTCCTCAACTTACAATTTACAACAGTTCGTTTAGTGACTGTTCGAAGTTAGAATGCCCTTTTCACACTTATGACCATTGTCACGTGATCAAAATTCAGGCCCTTGGCAATGGACTCATATTTATGATGGTTGCAGTGTCCTGGGATCATATGATCCCTTTTTGTGTTCTTTCGACGAGCAAAGTCAATGGGGAAGCCAAATTCATTTAACAACCATGTTACTAACTTAACTGCAATGATTCTCTTAACAACTGTGTCAAGAAAAGTAAAATGGAGCAAAATTCACTTAACAACTATCTCCCTTAGCAACAGAAATATTGGGCTCAATTGTGGTCGTACGTTGAGGACTACCTATATTCTCTAAATTCAATGCACAGGTTTCATGAGGATCCCAGTTACGCTTCCAATAAAACATTGGGAATCTGGGTAAAGGACTTTAATGCATTTTTTAAAACAATCCCCATCTTTAATACATTGATACAATGATGTTATACTGACAGACCAAGACATTCCATCCAGATGTCAACTGCTTAACTGCTGAAAATCCTTATCTGCTGTTCCCGTAACATGTAATAGAGAAGATCTGAATGACAAATGGAAGATGCGTGTTTATGTACAAAGGTAGGAATATCACTCATCAAAATGTGATGCCTAACACATTCTTGTTTCTGTGCCCTTAAAGCACTTATATTTTGCTGATTTACTTTAAGAACAAGTCATCTGAGAAAGCAGATTTTTATATTTTTGTGAGCTATCAGAAATAGGCAAAACTTGGTATTTTGCGATTCTCTCCCTGCAAAGTGACTGGATTATTAAAAAAAATAGAACCTAACATTAAAAATGGCCCCTAAAAATGTTGATGGGATACTTCTGCATTGTAGATCATGCAGATGCCTGCTGCTCACACTTAGAACTTGGCACATACCATCAAAACATCTCCATACCGCTCAACTAGATTAACATGGACCCTTCAACAAATAAAATAGGTCGATGTTTCACTCTGTCTCAATACTGGAAAAGGGTTTCAGTTTTTCTGTAATTCACAGAGGCTTTATGGATCAACTACCACTTTTACATCTTGCTATGGAACACTTACCGAAGAAAGAACCTGTTTAGTCATATCGAATACATACAATTAGAAGTTTCTGGAGATGCCAGGAATTTCCCATAGGGAAAGAAAGCAGCAATCTACTCTTATTGTCTGTCAACATGAACTGGAAGCAGTGTCTCTGAAAATAATAAATCCGTGCCTCTAAGGCAGTTTCTCAAGCTTGGCAAGTTTTAAGATGTGTGAACTTCAATTCCCAGAATTCCAGCTGGAGTTATAGTCCATATATTTTAA